AATATGTCTGCCTTAAGTAATTACACGTTAGGTAGTTGAGATGTAGTTCAGCCAAAGGCATAAGCTGTATGGGAGAGTGGGATGGAAAGGACCCAAATTAGATTAGCCTCAAGCTACTGTGGCAGCTCGCATAGACACAGATGAATTTTGAACTGAAGAAAGCCAAAGTGATTTTGTTTAACCAACTGTTTTTCTCACTTTTAAATAAGCTGGCCTATAATATCACAATTTGTTTTGGTTTTCCTGAATGAAAATTCTCAAGTTTTTAACAGCCAAACAGGAAATTTTATGGAGGGTATTCCCAGGTTAAAAAAGCCCTGAATTTGACTGTTTCTAACACGCTTTAACCACCATGCATTCAGTCCTAGAAAAGAATAATATTATAATTTTACAGTCCGCATTATTATCCTGCTTCCTTCTGATCTCGGTGCTATTGTTGCTTATCAGTTGGATTAAAAATTGTAGAACAATCAGCCATACAGATCTCAGTTAAATGTGAGCATCGTGTGTAATTGAGAGGGATATTTGGTAATGTATTGTATGTGAGATAGGGTTGGGGCAAGGTATCGTAAGAGTTATAATGTTATTTATTCACCTTCTTTACATATTCCAGAGTTTTGGCATTATGAGGATTATTATAAAACACAAAAAATTGAGATTGTAGACAAGCTTTGTTTGTAATGAACAAAGCATTGAGGGTGAAATTCCCTTACATTGCTTATTAGGAGATCCATTTGGATGGATGGAGCTTCTTTTTCCTAAAGTCCCATTTCCTTTGATGCTTATTTAGCACTGTTTTGTTTAACTAGGTAACTTCTTCACTGCATGTTATATATTTCTCATGTAACAGTATATCTGCTTTGTGTATCGTTTCATAATTTAAAAATAATTTAGATTGTCCAGTTTGGGGGAGGCTGGAAAATGGAGACAGGATGTACCATTTGATCGGGTTTCTTTCTGAGGTTGCTGGGATTTCAGCAAGGGACTGATATCTCCAAGTTAGTGAAGAAAAGGGACACGTTCTTTTGATTTTTCTTGCTTTTGGATTTTTATGAGCTTATCCAGCCAAATATAAGTGGATATGAAATGCAGCCGCGTTCTGCATGACAGATGAAAAGCTGAGTATATCATAGTTGAGTCAGCTGGGCCCCCTGCTGCGCTCTGCTTTTGTTGTCCTTAAAAAGTTCTGCATCCTAAAGTACCTAGTTCTGTGAAATATTAGCAAGCCGGTACGGTGAATGTTGATTACTAAAGTTGACTGAAGATGTATTGCCTGCCTTGTGTGTTGCGTCTGGTAAATAGCTGGTTGCTTTGGTAACCGCCTGAAAAGGTAGAGAGGGTCGTTGGTACCACATAAATTCTTTAAACAAGACCTGATCGTAGCAAATTCTAACATTAGCCTTCGCAGAAGGATAAAAGAGGAGGAAGAGATTCAGACGGCTTTTTCCTTTTGTAAACTTGCTGCTTTATAGGGGAAAAAATAGCTAGAAATAGTCTGTCTCGTACGAAATGAAAAGGTTGTGGATTAAGGTCCTGCATTAGGGAAACAGCTGGATGAATGTGAAACAGAAAGTTCTCCAGCTTCAGCCATTATGGGTTTGTTTGGTTAGGTCTAATTTTGGAAGTCATTTTAGCAAAGGTAAATGACTTGCACAGGAGACTACTGTAAACAAAAGACTCGATACATTTACTTTGGCAAGAGCCTGGGGAAGACTCGGGCCTTTCACTGCCTCTTTTATGCTGCCTGTAATGCTCTTGCCACCCGCCTCTGCGTGCAGGCGGCTCTCGTTTCCCTTCCTCCTGCGCTGGCAGCTCCTTTCCCCCGACAGGTTGGATTTAATGGGGGCAGCACCTGCCCTCGAAATGCTGGTGTGGAGCTGCAGAATACTGTTATTTTTATAGTAGCTGTTCCTAGACTTCAAAAGCCGCTCTGTTTTGCTCCAGTAAGAATCTGTTCACGCTTTCCCGGTCTAATACTGGAGTATAATCTGTTTCAAATGCTTGACTTTTTGATTGTAGCTCCTCTTTGGTTGCTTTCTGTGTTTTTTATTTTAGCATTTAATAGCTTTATACCTACAGATTCTAAGCATAATGATGCTTAGCTGGGTTTTCTAGATTTTCAATGAAGAGTAAAGCATGAGAATTAGAATTCCCTTTCAGGTCTCTACCCCTGTGGTTCAGGCAAGGCTCTGCCCTTACTCACACTTGTGTGAGTGGGGAGGCAATGTCCATGGTGACAGAAAAGTGCCCATGCAGAGACTGCTTCTTCCTTTTACAAAGCTCTCCTAAACGTACTGTAGAGGTGCAGCAGAGCTCTCATTGATTTTAAAGCTGGGAGGATGAAGTAGAGGGGCAGTGAGAATCCTCTTCATATTGTACTCACACCTCCTTGCTGCTGTCCCTGACCGTTGGGTGACTGAGGGGACTGCCCTTCGCAGTCCCTGTCATGGGCGACACCTGGCTGCTGTTGCTTTCAGTCGAGGAGTAACTGTTTATCTTGGTTTTTAAAACAGACAGGACATACTTTACTGTTAATTTGTTTGTTCTTTAAATACAAAATACAAAATATTTAAATACAAATACAAAATATTTATGCTGCATCTTCCAGGAAGCCATCCCTGCATGTTCTCACACACGTTCTGCCCATGAGGGATGGCAATGCTGCTCGTCATTCTGATATATAACTGGTACCAAAGGAATCTATAGGGTCATTTTCTACTCCGGCCGTAGAAAAGAAGATTATCTTTATGTCTGAAATTGCTCCCTTAGTGCTCATTAACTAGAAACACAGTAATTGAGAATCCAGTAGGAAAAGATTTTGTCTAATAGCAGCCCTGATCTCTAAAATGGAGTTTAACTGCATAATAATTACACACTAAAGTGTTTGACCAGTATGACTGATACAAACAAGCCAACCATGGAATTGAGTGCCTGACAGGAAGTTTTATTTCAGATTATTTTCATCTCAGGCTGCATATACAAGATATTTGTATGCTTTCAGGTCAGATGGCTGATTCTGAAGAAGAAGATGTGGTTTTAGCTGCATGAACGCCTTTGAGCTTCCTTCCACCTGCAGGGTCTTTGAATGTCAGAAGAAGCAGACAGCTTTGTTTTACTGGTGTTACTCTCTGATGTCTTAAAAAACCAGAAAGTTAATACAAAAGTTCTGTTAAGAGAAACACCCTGCTTTCCAACTTACTGGGGAAAAAAGTGGAAAAGATAGACCTCTTGAAAAAGTTATCACAGTGTTTTGACTTTATGCTAAGAATTAATAAAATACAGATTTTTATTTTTTTCCTGTGATGGGATAGTTTAATATCATTGCTTCCTTGTGTATAAGCTACCAGAGAGATGGAGATGGTGAGTTTTGGTTACTGCCCCAAATTAAACACAGGAACATGCAAAAGTTTAGGCTATACATACTTGTTTTAAATTTCCATATGATATTTAGCCTGGCATTTCAGAGGCAGCAGTGTGGCTGTCAATAGAATGGAAACTCTTGGAGAAGTGAGCATGGAGAAATTGTGTGTTGTGTCTAATCACAGAGTGCTCCTTACACGGCATCCATCAGGAAGCAGGCACCTTCCCTAAAGTGGAGAACCACCATGATTTGCAGCAAAGCCAAAGGTCTAAGTGATGTGTAAAACTGAACACCCATTTTCCACGTGTGAATTTAATATTGTAGCCTTCTTTTCAGCTGATGGTAACGTATTATAACTGCACTTCTAGAACATTTTGCTTGTGAGCATTAGGATATTACTGATATTTTATGACATGCAGTTCCTCTTAAATAATCTCCATTGTGGAGTATGTTTTACTTCCTTCTTGCACATCAGAATGACTCTCAGCAGACTTGACTGTGAAAATAGGCTTGTTTTATTTTAAAAAGGAGTTTTGTCAACTCAGCCCAGAAGATTTGTTGAACTGAGTAAATGATACAGATACATACTATTAAATGAGCACAGAGTCTCTGACTTAAAGCCGTGGTATTGGCAGGGAGGTGGATGGGAGCTCTCTCTGTGCCTTTCACTGCCTCTCACCCCCCAGATCTGTAGATAAAGAGAAGTATGTGCAGTTCCAGGACCTGTCAGTCCCATTGCTTCGGCTGTGGCTCAGGGTGTCCTTAAATTCTGGAAGTTGAATGAATCTAAATTTGTTCTTCTAAGCCCTAAGCAATCTGTATTACCACGTTTTAATTATTGAAACAATCTCTTTTCTTTTTGCTAGCCAAAACTAAATGTGCATTATGGCAGCAGAGGGGATCTGCCAGCAGGCTCCCTGGTGACAGAACTGATGGAGAAGGGTTGCAGTCCTCGTGTTTGGGGTGATCATGATGTTCTTCATACTTCATAAGGCCAGTGAAAACTCAAAAAACGAGATTGTTTAAGCCCATGAGGAAATACAGCTGCAACCGCAGGAATTTGCTGGTTAAGCCAGTTTCTTTTTCAGAGTTTCTGTTACTATAGCCACTTTATTCCTGGTAGAAGCTGTGTGAGAGGATCGAAATGGAAAAAAAAAATTGCTCTTGCTTTGTGAAATAGGGGCAGTTTCCAGTTGTGAACATGCCCTGAGCTGAGTCTTGTTCACATGCACAGAGCATGGCTGCAGGCAGCCTAGGCAGTAACTACCTCAAGAACTTGGGATTTCTGCATCAGTGGTTCATATCTCTTGGAAAGATGCCAATCAGAATTTAATTGCTTGTGGTGAAGTCTTTCTCTGTGGCTAGAGAGGACATTGAATCCGTTTGAACTTTTAAATTGCTGTGGGACAGCCTGAGCTAGCACAGTTGTGTTTAATATACAGGCAGATAATGGAAGATACTTCTTCATCAGATAGAGTTCTTTGATGCGCCTTTTTGTTTTATGCACACCACGCTAACTTGTTTTATATATACACCACACTAACTTGAGGCAGAGGAAGGGAGTTCTTGTAATAACACACACATTTGTTTCTCTGTTTGGTGCATTGACAGGTGTTTGGTTTTTCTTGTGTCTGCCCAGGAAACCACGTCTTGTCTCCTGGAGAGTCTGTTGGAAACGGTCTCACGCCAGAAGCTGCAAAAGATCTCGGTCTCCCCGAAGGGATCGCGGTGGCAGCATCTCTCATTGATGCCCATGCTGGAGGATTAGGTACTCAGTCATGTATTTACTATTCTTGGAAACAGGAATGTATCGAATTAATTTTAGAAAGCTATTTTTCTTACAGCTGATTTTGTATCCAGCTGTTTGCTCTGATGCTATTCTTATGAAATAGCATAACTAAAATAAAACAAAACCCCTCACAAGAACTGCTAATATTGAATATCTGTTTATGGAAAGGGGCTATCACTGTTTGTTTATTTTCAGCTGGATTTCCAAAATGTGTTTTAGCTTCTGCTTACTTCCACTTTGAATTCCTGAACTGAAACACCATTGTGTTGGCATGACAGTGTGCTGAGAGTTTGCTTCTTCCATTGCTCGAAACTTGGAGGATAGGCAAGGAAAATTAAAAAAATTAACATTCTGAGGGAGGAGTTTTGTGTCTGAGGCTTGCTCATAGTGAGTCTTTCTTCTTAGCTTTAGAAGTGATTCATAGTTTGTTTTAATAATGCAATAGAGACTTTTTCACATACATTTACACTAGCAAAATGTGGCATTTATACCAGAAACGCTGCTTTTGCTCTAGGGGATTAGAATGTGTAAACACTGTGTATCGAAACGATGAAACAGAACTAGAAGGGAACCGGCCACTGTGCAGCATTCACCTCCTGCAACGTTGAACTTTGTATCCATAGCTGGATAAAACACTTGGGTTTTTTTCTTTTCTAGCACAATGTTCTGGATATGCCCAGTTTCAACTGTGTGGAAATATATTTGATGAGGGTCAATGGCTTCATTTTCTTGCTATGCTTTTTGGCCTTATCTAAATACAGTCAGTAACAAAGTGATTCAGTGTAACTTTTTCAGCAGAAAATTGAGGTTTTTGTAGTTTGATAGTCTAGAAGAAAGTCTTACCTCACAAAGTTTCAGTGTTATTGAAACTGTGCTGTTCAATGGAAATCCATTGCTCATCAGAGTATTTTTTCTCTAGATCTAAATTAAATCAGCTGTTAAAGTACCAGTTTTGTTTCAAATGTTTTGTGGTGTTTTAAATCTCATTTATTCTTCCAGAAGTTGTGGCCTGGAACTTTTTAAATGTTTAAATCCATTTGCTTTGCTACTGATAACTGTTTCTGGTGAGGTTAAGTAGTCATGTGGATTGCTTTTCTTATTACCTCAGCAAGATTAGATAGAGATACAGCTGTAAAAAGGAGAACTGAGTTTTAGATTTGTTAGGTCCCTACTAATGCGACTTAAGAATCTGTTTGTGTCCATTAGTGTCCTAATTACATAAAAATGTGTTTAAAACTATGTGTCCTGACAGTTTTGTGCTCTTGAAAAGGATAATAATGTGCTGGTCTGAAAGCATGAACGTGCTGAAGAACTGGATTGCCACAAAGCACGTGGAAGAGACAGTGCAGGGTCCTCATTTAACTGGCATTTGTGCTGAATTCAGAGCACAAAACGTTTGCCCAGCACATTTCATGTGCTGAAATCAATGAATTTAATTTAAAGAAGAATAGAGGGCAACTCTCTGTTCGTTTGCTATAGACTTTTGTAAAGAAACTCTGACGTTAGAAATGTATAGCTGCTGGCATCCAGCAGAGTAAGACTTCAGTGGAGAGAGACAGTCTGCTTATGCTATCCTGTTTATCAGAATATGTAAGCATGAATGTGCTGAAGAACTGGATTGCCACAAAGCACATTGCAGGGTCCTTGTTTAACTGGCATTTGTGCTGAATCCAGAGCACAAAACGTTTGCCCAGCACATTTCATGTGCTGAAATAAATGAATTTAATTTAAAGAAGAATAGAGGGCAACTCTCTGTTCGTTTGCTATAGACTTTTGTAAAGAAACTCTGACGTTAGAAATGTATAGCTGCTGGCATCCAGCAGAGTAAGACTTCAGTGGAGAGAGACAGTCTGCTTATGCTATCCTGTTTATCAGAATATGTTTTCCCAGATGGCACCACAAACACTAGCAGACTACTGAAATCATTGCCAGGAGGAAAAAAAAAAGTATAGGTTGTTGTCAGAGAGCGAGAGACGCCTTACAGAGGGAAGAGTCAGTAACACGATCGGAGAACCTGCACGCTAATCACATGGTAACCAAGTAAAGTCTGGGAAAAGAGGAAGATTTAAGATGGAACTCATCCTTCATGAAGCTGGGAAGGGTAATAAATAGGTAGGGAACCTGGTACAAGACAGTAAAAAGGAAAAGATTTGGATAGCAAAAGGGACAGCAAGGGCAAAAGGAGAGCTGGTATGTAAAGAGGATGGAAAGTGTGGCTGTGTCTCAAATACTGGATCACTCTGCTTCATCCATACCTGTTAATAACAAGAAGTTAATATTTTTTGAAGTCTAGCTTAACCTACAGTGGGTAGAATACAGAGTTGAAAATCCTGAAGGAAAAAACCGAAGAGTAAAAGGAGAACACAGATAATAGAGCTAGGAAGTGAAACTGTGTTCTGATTAAGAGATGTTAAAGATGGCAATGCACTAAAGCAAAATAATCTTTTAATAATTATAAAAGGGTCACAGAAAAAAGGAAAATAGAGGAGATTCAAAACAGTGAATTAAAGTGTGGAAATACTGGAAACAAATAACTCTTGTCGTTGATGTAAAACTTCTGTTTTGAAAAGGTGCTGATGTGTGTTTTAGTGCTTACTCTGCTGTGATCTGTATTGAAATGTTGAGGCTCACGATTTATTTGCAGGATATGACTTGTATATTAGTAAGTGTTAGATTAGTTTGTGGGACAACAATGTCCAGTGAGTGTCCTTATTGTTGGACACATTCCTCTGGTTGTTTTAAAACTAGTCTGTAACAGCAGAGTAACGAAAAGGGCTGTTTTGTATCCTGCAGGCTAAAGCAAAGTGACATGATGGATATCTTGTTTGCAGTGTTAATAACTTCTGACACACTGTTCAGATCTGCTTTTGGCTGGATATAAAGTGTATTTTTGCTGGACAGATTCCTGAAGTTTATGAAGGCCTCAAAGTTTGGAGTAAAATGTGGTAAAGCCAGAGAGTTCTGTAGTGTGTGTGTCTGCGGAGGTCAGCTGTGACTGCTGATCAGTCCGTCTGATACCTGTTGTGGAAAAGTAAAAACCTAAAAGACAAGTGGTTAAGTCGTGCATTTTGACCTAGTGTGCCAATTTAAAAGAGCCTACAGACAAAAATGTGAGCATGGGAGGCCAGTCCCAACCTCGTGAAAATAATGTTTATGTTGCACCTTTTAAAAAGACATCAGCATTGTTTCAGCAAAAGTGGATAATTTGTTGTACAGTATCTCAAATAACTTGGTCACTGTGGAAGAGATCCAGAAATATGCGTGCTAAGCACTGCCTGCTTTTCTAAAATCTCCCCTGCAGTTTGTGTGGTATCGCAGATGTCTTGTTCTCAGTCTCTCTTGAGAATCTTCAAAAGATTTTGAGTCTGCCTCAGAGTATGAAAAATTCCAGCTAAGTTAAAGGTGAAAGTAACTTATAACAGCGATTAAATTATTTTAGAGAATAAAATATCTAAACTTCCATTATGAGTTCCAGACTTACTTGCTGTCTGACTTCCATTGATCACAAATAGGCAGACTGGAGCAACTCTGAACACTAGAAAAGCCACTGACAAAGTCTCACTGATTTGAGAAAGGCCTAGAATGCGTATTTTGCAGAATGCATATTATCTTAGTGATTAAAAGTATCTAAACGTGAGGCTCTTCAATTTTTTGTTTGTATGAAGAATACATTTGCAACATATGCTGACAATTCAGTTCAACTGATTGGTTCCCTCTGAAGTGTGAACAGTGTTTTTAACTCCTTTAAGAAACTACATTACAGTGTTGCCTGGTACAGGAAATTGCCTTTTAGACAGCCCTATCCAAAATTCTTAATATGAACTCATGCATGTCTGTGTTTGAGCAATGAAGAGTAAAGCATACAAGGTAAAGGCCGTACTTTCAGCTTTCTTTTGTTCCTTACAGATAAACTCTGTGTATGACAGATATGCTACTACACAGTTACCAGCCAGCTAGGATAAAGGGACATAAGGACAGATTTTTTAAAGACTGTACAGGTTTAGGCCTTAATTTTCTGATTATTTAGGTAACTTCAGGTAATTTAGGATTGCCAAATGGGTCACCAGACTCTGTGTTGCAGACGCAGATGCCATGCACAGTCTGGTGACCAGTTTGCCAGCTAAGAAAGTAACGCTCACCAGAAAAAAAGACAAACAAAAGGGTATTACTTGTTGGGAACCCAGCACAACGTGATGCAAGAACGCAACCTAGGACAGGAGGAGAGGGCAGGATTTTCACTGAAGCCTCCCCTGAAGTGAATTAAAAGGGAAGTGATGCCTGCTGAAGCCTGGCTGTAGCGCTGCTCCATCTGTAAGCAGCTCCTGGCTCCTCTCTGGCACCTCCTGGTCGATGTTTCTGCTGTGGGCTGGGTGCTTGCTGTGTGTGTCCCGTCCTGCTCACAGAAGCTCCTCAGAGCCAAGCACAGCTCCTCTTGGGGAAGGAAAAATCTTCCTTTAGATGGTTCTGTCTGACAGGGACAGCACAACAGCAGCAACGACAACAAAACTGGCAGCCTTCCAGTCTCCTGCCAAGTCACCCCTGACAAAAACACATCACACAGTATGTGCATAAGAAACTGGGAACAAATACACCTATCTGTGGTCTGCCGTGGTGCTTTTCACAACACGGCAGGCTTTTATTCCGCATGTTAGTGTACTACCTGGCAGAATAAAGGTCAGGCTGTAGTCCAAATAACATTTTAAAATCATAAATATAATAATAAACATGAACATGGACGAAATCATCTTGTGTTCTCATGTATCTGGAATAAAAATGTATTTTAATTTGATTTGATAAAATAGTTGTGTTTGTTGACTAAGTTTTTTGATTTGTAGCACTGGTGGGAGATACCCGGCAATTCTTTGTGTACGGAAAAGCTCTGTTTCGTAAGGATCAGCTTGCTCTTCTTTAAAATAGAATTTTAATTTTATTTTAATAGGAGTAATTGGAGCAGATGTGAAAGGACATAACCTGCCATGTGAAAACCAGCCAATTACATCCCGAGTCGCTATGATCTGTGGAACGTCTTCATGCCACATGGGGGTAGGTTGTATTCATAGTCCTAATGTGTAGAGAATATAGTAACTAATGCTTTTGAAGGGAGAAATGACCTTTGGACTTATCACCCTTTTCGTTTTCCTTGATGTTTTTTTTTTCTGGTAACTCTATCTTTACCTTTGGATATTAATTATGTATTACCATGCATTTGCTTTTAAGCAAGGACTTTAATAGTAGTAGAAATCAATATTGAAAAACGGCATGGAAAGTAAAAACCACGATGCTAGAGTGGCTTAAAGAGCAGCCTGAAACCTGAGCCAAAGACTGAGCTTGAGTTATCTGTGACGAGCCTGTCACTAAGTGCTACAGAAGAGTGTGGAGAAGGAGTGCACGTCTTCAGTCACAGCCCTTCTACCCTACCTCTTTCCTCAGTCAAAATAAATCCTTCTACCTCTGAAAGTTGCTGCGATGTACAGAATGATGATATGTAACTTGACTAAAAAGAAGGAAAAACCCAGATAAGCAATTTTCACTTTGCTAATTTTTCTCAGTGAATTAATACAAAAGCTTTTTTGGAGATTGCAATTAAAATTTAGTGTCTGCTTTTGAAATTTATACCTTTTTAAAATGTATGAGTCTGAAAGCATTCCATTTAGATAAGTACCCTTTTCTGCCACTTTTTTTATTTAAAACTCATTTCAGTCTTAAATTTACACTGATTATAATTTGGATTTTTCCTAAACGAGCAAATGTCAATGGGAGTGCTAGAGGTTTTTAGAAAGGACTAGCATGTTTCATGGAGAGCTCCAGTAGAGGAAGAAGAAGCTGATATTAAAACATCAGGCTTAACAGTAAGTTGTCTTCATAGTGTATGACTGCATGGCGATCTTGAGCATGAATAAATGGTGATCTTGTCACATGCATTGTAGTTCAGCAAAGCATTTAAGCACATGATTGAATTTAAAATTGTGACTAATCCCTGTATCACGAAGCAGAGCATTTAACAAAAGCTTAAGTCCTGTAAACTAATTGAAGTATATGTGGATTCCTTCCTAAGCAAGATTTCAAACCTCAAACTCCACCACTCTTAGCTTACTCTGTCTCTGAAAAATGACACGTGTGTGTCCTTGTCTATCACGGTGCAGGAGCCTGCCACTACTTTTATTATTTCTAGGTTTTTTTATGGAGGTTTCTGCCCTTTCAGAAGCAGCTGTTTGTGTGCACTCTTCCTAACCTGTTTCATTTAGCTGAGTTAGTTTAAGTGATTAAAATGAGTTGGGTTAATAGAGACATAATACTGGATTGAAATGAGCCAAGAGCTCTCAGACAGTTTCCCCAAAAGGTCTAAGGGCAATGTTGAGCAGCTGAAAATGGGCCAGCTGGCTCTAACGTAGTCCTTTAGTATAACTAGCCCTGGAGGAGGAGATGTGTGTGGTTATTTATTAATTTTTAATGTATGCATATTGGTAAGTTCTAAGGTAGACCCAGTTAACTATTATAGTTTGTTTGGCTTCCCAAACTGAAGCACGGCGTCTCGGCATAAACACTTTCACAGCACTTTTTGTATGCGTGTGCCATGACCATGATTCTGTGTGGCTCTAATAAATGTGCTAATGTAACAGCAGTGACATGATAAAGTCCTTGTTGGTGTTAATAAATGTTCTGTTCTGTCGTTAAAACAACCCCAAAGTTGTACATAGGCTGCACAGCACAGACAAGGTAGAACTTTTTAAAGTTCTTAATCACTGAAGTGCAAATTCAGGAATAGATGCTTGTGCAGTTTTTTGCTAGATTGAAGTAGATTTTTGTTTAAATACAACTACTCAGCATTTTATAATCATTCCCTTAACTGCCTTCCTTCACTCATCTGTTCAGAGGTATAACGATCTGTAGCCAGCAGACAATAAGCAAATTCTAAACTTCTCTGGATTTAATCTGTGGAAGGACTTTGTTTCACTGTTCTTTTATCTCTTACCTGCAGAGAGTGCATAAAGTGAATGTAGAGCACACAGAGCAGTTGTATTTGTGTTTTAATGAGACCTGTATGCAGCTGCGTTTGGCTGAAATTAGCTGTTCCTTTCTTTAATTAGGGCTATAAAATTAAAGTATATTATACTTGTGTTTTGATAGAAATATATATTTTCTCTCTCTCTCCCTGTGCACCAAGGGACCCTCAGGGCTACAGAGATTAATCATCGAGTTTAATTTAATGCAGTGGGAGAGAGACCTGTGTGGTCAGGCGGGCATTAAAAAGTGCCTTTGATCTGCCTCAGGTGCACTGAGCCCCAGCGAGCCAGCAACAACAGTACCTTTGTGAGATGATCAGAGATGAGAGAGGGAGAAAATGGCCTGTGTGGAAACTCAAGGCCGTCCTTTGTTGTGGTTCTGGCAAAGGAAAGAGCCAAGTGTCAGGAGAAATTCAGAAAACAGAAAGCAGGGTGAAAGTAAGGCTGGATTTCTTTCAAGGGATCGTAACAGGAAACTGTTCAAAATCATCTGCTGTGTCTTTCTTCCCCTCCCCCTTCCTCCTTTTTCGGCGAGGGCAGGGGTGCTAATGTTGGTGTCTATGTGTTGGTACCGAATTTCCATTCTCCAGACCAAGTACTCCATGAGTCACTGAAGCAGCTCTTGCTTTAACACAGCATTTGCTTTAAACTTTTAGAGAAACTGCTCCATGACCCAGTTTTCATTACCTCAAGGACTCTAGAGATCCTGAACAAAAGACTTTGCTAATCGTGCCTTTGATATTTTAGACAGTACAAATGTAGAACCTAATTTTACTCATGGCTATAATGGTTTAATTTGTGGTAGAACTACCATTTTTTGGTGAGGATACGCTTTTGGAATTAACCACCGACAGTTTGGGGTAATCAGACGCACACAAAGCATTTTGTTTGTGTTGAGCTACGTGAATAGCTCATGAAAGAAGCGAAATGCATGTTATAATTAGGTTACTGATCCAAGTCCAGGTCTGAGTTGGTAGTTGCTGAAAGTCACTGCCACCTCAGGGCTCATCCATTATCCATGAGGAAAAAGAAAAGATGGTTTTGTGAATATTTTTGGACAGTTACTCATTTTGCATGATTCTCTGCTGCCTCCTTTGACCTAACTAAAGTCACTGGCAGAATCTGAAGGGCAACTGAGCTGTCCTTTTAACTTGTGAAGGATAGTCCCTCGGTTTCGGGCTGGGATGCCTTTGCTGCAGCTTTGATCTGTCAGTGTGGTGTAGGTTTTCCTTTCAAGTGATGGATACTCAGTGGCTGCCTTTTCTGAGTGGGCTGCTGCATGGCATCGTGCTTTGGAGACAGGATCTCTGAGCTGCAGCACCCACACGGAGTTTTTGGACCTTTTAGGAGACTTTCCTTGTGTAGCCATGGTGACTACACAAAATGTGTGAGTAGTTTTTCACAGTAAAATAGCAAGTTTGAGGCCTTGAAATAGCAGCTTGCATATTATTCCAAATTAGTAGTTTGCATGGGTCTAACAGACATGTCCTAACTTCTGGGAATAAGGTAATTGGTTTCCTTCAAAGCCTATCCTCCTGCCAGTGTCTTATGGGTTTTATGGGATATTGTAAAGGTTTAAAAGCTCCCTTGTTTTCTCCTGAAACCGGAGAGATTTCAGGTACAGATGTCTGTCGTATTTTGTCCCAGCCCTGAGCACAAGCATGCTTGCCCTTTTGCAGATGTGTAAAACCACCAAGAATTGAGTTAACTTGCAGGTGTCAGTTAGCAAACAGCAAAACAGTAATATGACCAAGCAGTGTGACAGGGCACTTGTGCACAGAAATTTCCTAGTTTTCCTTGCAGCAAGTAATCTAGTGGTACTGCTGGTTCTTTCTGGTAGATAAACGTTGCAGTTTCCCATATCCAATGTCAGCATAATTGCTCTTCTTGAGGGCACAAAATTCACATAAACTTTTTTGTTCCTCAAACCAAAGTGTTTCATTAAACCGTAAGGTTTTTGTCAAAGAGACTACAGGTTTGAGCAAATTTATGTGACGCCTGACAGACTGAGACCAGCCTGGGACTGCTTTTTAGTAGCCAGAGATTGTGAAAGGGATTTGAAGTAATTTAAATGGCAAGCAGAAATGAATGTTAGTTCTGGAGTGGGAAGCTGCAAGATTCAGACGCATTCACTCTCAGAGCAGGGATCTTCTTTTGCAGCAGCCCATCTTCTCTTTTTTTGTCTGCAGTATGAGATCCTTGCTAATCTTGTACGTGTACAGGCTATGTGCTATTTATGTGTATTGAATAAAATAGCCCTGTTCATCAAATGGGTATAAACTCACATTTCTGCCTATTTTGTGGTGAATTTGGCTTACTTAGAGATCAGTGGTCTGCTGTGCACTTGTCTCAGAACAGTTGTTCCGTTACGAAAATACTTGTCATTCTTGCTCTAACACCTTTTTGGATTCGCAGCTGAAGGAAGTAGCCATGGCAGCTTCTAACGGGAACATTGCCTGGCCTGATTTCAGCTTACGGAGATAGGGGCGTCCACATTTGCTGGCATTTTGAGTCCCAAATATACAAGGTTTGTGTTCAAAAGTCACTGATATTTTTTTCCGTCTTTGTTTGGTGATGTGGTCTCTGTGCTTCTTCAGCCATTCCTTCTGCTTTTATCAGCTCTCAGTACTCAGACCTCCTCTTGGGGATTGTCAGGGAATCTTTTCAGGTTTAGATGGAGTCTCTTCATTTGCATCTGGTTTTGTTACTTCTGTGACTCTTCATTGGGAACTGACTCACCTGGCTTGGTGCGCAATTCTTTTTTCCCCTGGGTGATAACGTGTATGTGGTTTGAAACTTAATTTAGTCATTTTTTAAACTGGCAAGGCAGTTTAAAAGGCACAAGTCTTTCTTCTTCTATCTTTTCAGATTTACTACCTGATCTAAAAGACAGAGCTTGAGCAGCTACACGAACAGCAAAAGGAGAAGATAATTTTGCTGTCCCAGTGTTTACTATGGATAATTTCAGGAAGACTATCCCATACTCTTTTACCAAGCCCAACTTGTCTTTGCCTGTTTTCTGCTAAAGGAACTTCAGCC